CTTGCGACCATTTTGGGGGCAGCAGCCGGGCTCTCAGAGGTCTACTAGATGATCATATATACCTCCCAGATCCATGGCAATGGAACCTCATGTGTGGATGATTTGCTAATTATTTTCTTTTAAAGCAGAAGGGGAATTCCAGTTGCCAGGTTCGTTTCCTACAGTTACCCTCCAAATCATCCAAAAACAACTCGAAAGAAACAGTCAAAAGCCTTAGTGAACCAGGGGAAGGTAATTTGATGGAGGTCTGATGGATTTCTGAAATCCATCTTTTCTTGTTTATGCATGCCGCTCTATTTAAGGTGATTCTACTACAGTAGTTAAATTTTACTAGTTGAAAATAAACATCTTTGCGTTAGATGCCCCAAATTTTACTTGGTTTAACCCATGTTTTTGTTGAGCAAAGCCAGTTTTTGGCAGATTCTTTGGAGGCCATTGAAGTGCGGCAGACCTCCTTCGAACGACAATATGACCGGGGACCTGGGCTTCGGCCCGTGGGGCCCGTGGTTAGCAACGCTGGTGTGGATTCTTATGAGCAACCCCCGGGGTTTCACCAAGTTTCGTTTTTCAGCCACCAGTTTCAGAAGAATCACATTTTTCACCAATTGGGGATGGGTCAAAACCCTGGTACCCCTGTAGTTCACATCAGAATAGCTGGGACTTATGGATGTTCATTCCCGCCAAAAATGCTATTAATAGGTATTGATCCATACCCATTTTCACCAATTCTCCAAATCAACCATGTTTCACCAACAGATTTCTTTCTGATTTGGTATGGCAGGGCCTTTTGAAAATTCCTCAATCCGTTGGTTTGACCGGCCTTAAGGCCAAAGCCCTGCGAGGTCGTTGAGGTGGGGAAAGCTGTGGTGTCGTGACCAAAATTGTTTTTTTTTACAGGCCATGGTTTGGGGTAAACGTGCAATTATTGATAGTTATTGATAATTGTTGCCATTGTACAACCCAAACTATTGATAATTATTAATGGTTATAAGCTGGTTTGAGGGGGTAAAAGGGCTGCTGTTTTAGGAGCGGGAATTGCCATCTTGGCAGGATGTGGCAGGATGATCATAGGAAGATGTCTCTACGTCAGTCAGGAAGGGAATGCATTTCTGAACGTACCAATAGACATGTGCGGAAATGCCCTCGTTGCCCATGGAGGCCCAAACTTCATTTTATGAGATAATGGTGACTCAGAGATTGAATGCACTATTGACATCTATTGACAATTCTCAGCAACTGCCTCAGGTTTGAACATGGAGAGCACATCACACCCCAGAATTATTCAACTACAGAACGGCCCAATAATGAGCGTAATGAGAAATTCAAAGAGATGAATCAATATCCTCTAGACAGTGTAGATGACATTGTGAGCCGCTCACATGCTTTTTTGATCTGTTTTCTCCTTTGTCCATGTTGATAACTTCACAAAGTGATGAGGCTCACTTAGGGACAGAATTGTTATCCCTTGAGGCACATCAAGCATGCCAGGGCGTTGATGGTATGTAGGACTTGGAACTCATGACTGCTGGCAGGTCACCGTCGACACGTGTTTCACGCGACAGCAAGACTGGTTGTCGCCTGCGTGAGGACATGCTGAATGGTACGTCTGAATTTTTAGAGGCAATCTTTCAAACCTCCAAGAACGCTGCACAGTATGATACAGTATGCACACTACAAGATATCCATTATCCGTCTTGCACGTTTGCGCCTCAAGCATGGAGCTTCGTGGTAGTTCCCAATCTTTGTTGGAATTGTACCATTGGTTGGCAATGTTTCAATGATTAGTGAAATCCCGCGTTTCTTGATAAACTTGCTGTATTTGTTTGCAGATATACATCCTCTGTGGTGTATATCATATCATATATAATCTAGATGTATAATTACGTATATGATATATGAATCATGCATATCCCCAGCTTTATTGTGTGTACGACTCCTAGACTTGCATTTGTCGGGATGATTTCTCTCCTCTTTTCTGGCACCTGAAAACAACGAGCGCAGCGCGGCCCACAAAGATTGCCTCAGACAGACCCTTTCAGTGCTCAGCTCGATACTCGCCACTCCCAGCGTGGTGGATTGTCTTCAAAGCTCTACCGCGGTTGATGGATGTCCCCATGGGATAGGGTTAGACCTCATTGAGATTCATTTCAGTATTTGGGAGGTGTATAACCCTCAAAAGACAATGTCTTATTCTTAGGGTTGCTACAGTACCCAACGATCTGGGAAAGTGAACGAACGGGCCATTTGTAGCCGTACATGGAGGACGATTAGATTATATATAGATTATATTCATATTATATATTACTATATCATACTATATATATCAAAATATAGTTTGTGATTGCAGGGTATCTACGATTTGCCACGTGATGGGAAATGCTGGAACAAACACAGAATGGTAATTACTCCAAACGACCAAACTCTATAGTCCATATGTTTATGTTATTCCCGGGCAATCTCGACGTTGCCCCTGTACTCAGTACTCATCGTGCCTAGACTGGCGATCGGCTGAAATTGGATAGAAAATCCACATCAATCCATTGATGAGGAAAAGACATGGTTTAAACTTGTTTAAACATGGGAAATCAACAGATCATTTTCCTCCGGCCCAATCCCCTTGGGTAAAACCGCTGGGAGGTTGGCATCAGCTATCAGCTGCATCGAGGTTTCTCTCCGTCGATAAGGCCAGGAATGCTGTACAGTGAGAACGGTCCAATCCCAGCGGAAAGAAAAAACATGGCCGTCCGGTGGATGGGTTTGCGATTCTTCTATCATCTACCAATTCAGAAGATCAGAAGGGAACACGTACAGTATTATAACATATTATAAAATAAAAAACATCAGATAACTCAGCAGTCGCCAGCAGTTCTTTCTTCGGTAGGGTTTCTATGCAACTACTTTCGGTTTCCCTCTAAACATTTCTTGTCTCTCCCAAGCCACGTCACGGAACCTTTTGCGAAAACTCTCTTTGCCGCTATCGAGACTCGTCACCTTTCACCAAGCTGGTTCTGGTTCAAAGCCCAGGCGGGTTTGAGACCGCAACAGATCAGCCACATGGGCCTTTCTAAGGCAATTTGAGAAGGCAGTTTGAGGTTGAAAGTTGAATCATGTTGAATCCCTAAAAGATGGACCAGTGCTAATTGATGCAGATATTCTTTTTGCTGGTTTCTCAGCACAAAAAGACCATATCCAGGAGACCGTGACGATAACAAGTTAACAAGGCATGGGGGTCACAGTTTTGGGGTACCGCTCATGGACCTGCAACTTTGGCTAGTGTCTAACATGATCATATATATGTACATTATCTAAGAGTGTGTGACATGATCTAGCACCATTCGCATATGGGTGTGCCTGAAAATCAGGTATTCAGTGTAAGATAGCGATTTGAATAGGGAACATGATGATAAACCATGATAAATCAGTGGACAAAGTGGGCTACCCATGGCTAACATTTTTTCAGACAAACACATTATATCTGACTTAATCGAACATTATCTATATAACAAGATCAAATTATCCAATGCGGAGTGTCAATCATATAAGCGGATGATGGGAACATTTGCAGGAGAGCCCGACATTTACTGTTTTTCAGAGATACGAACCACTGTGGTTTCGTATCGATTTTCCATGATTTTCCCTTCCAGCCATTGAGTCAATCAACAGAGTCTGCTTCAATCTCAGGGATTGATCGCATCTGACGACCCGCGCCATGCTGGTGCGGACGAAGCGCATTTCAATCTCACCCGATGTCAAAGGTCGAACGACCGGTTCCTGGCTCGCAGCTGGAAATGGTCTGGAAATGGGGATGACTTCGCAAATGCCATGCCAGGATACGGGTGTGGAGGGGAAGACATATCTCTTTCATTATCCATTCATATTCATTCTATTTTCATTCTATTTTCGCACTTCCAGTGAAAATTCACTGATCATCAAACTTGATTCTAACTTGATATGGGGATGGGTCAAAACCCTGGTACCTAGTGAACCTCAAGTCATAGCTGGTAAATGGATGTTCATTCCCCTAAAAATGGTATTAATAGGTATTGACCCATCCCCATATTGTGCATCCATTTCTGCCAAGCAAACCATCCAAACCGTTGGACCATCTCAGGCAGAGTTCACCGTGGATTTGGACCTGACTGGCGCTCCGGGCCTGGGTCTGGAGGCAGGAATGGGGGGTTCAGGCGTGACCTGATAGCGACTAGTTGAGAAAACTATGGCTTGAATTTCTTCAGCATGCCGAGTTCTGCCGGTGAAACACGGTGCAACTTCTGCAACCATATACAGTAGGGGTTCAAAAAGATTAAATAATCATAAATAACCAATAACCAGATAAAGAACCCATAGCTAATTCCCAATAGGATCCGATAGGTATAAAACCAGGCGATTACAGCTAAATTTTAAAAATGGGGTTGGAAACCATTGAAGGATCCAGACCACTTCCAAACATGGAATTCAAACAAGAAGACCTGCTATACCTGCCCAATTGGTCCAAAAGATAGGCCAGATGTTTCCTTTCAAACATGACCAGACTTTGTTTGTCGGTTTAGAATTGGACCCGCCCAGTGGACCCAGAAACCCAGTTCGTACCAGCCCTGAAACTCTCCGGATCCCACTAAGAAACTTCCAAGACTCCCGTTCTTGCTTTTTCTTCTACATACTTGTAGCTGTGGAAAATTGGTACATCATCGCGCGAAATGGGCAATTTTCCATAGCTACGTTAAATTACCAGAGGGATCCAAAGGGTATATATATATTAAATTATATTGTATTATATTATATATATACTCGTCTAATTTTGGTGTAGCGCATCTGCACATTGATTGCTGAAAGCGACATTTTCACAGCAAGAAACCTCTTAGATTCACGTTGAATCATCAGAAAAGGGATTGAACGGTTGAACAAGTTGAGCTTGACACTTGAGGTCGTCTTAAGATTATGTGAAAGCCCCATAGAGTGCCCCATTCTATCAGCTGGTTAATCATCGTTATCCCTAGTACATGGCCACATTGAGTCCTTCCACCTATCTCTTCTCCAGCTGGCAGATCGACTGGGCTGATGGCAAGACTTTGCTTATCAAGAGCGTTAAGGCCGGGGCGAAAACTCGTGGAACACAGCGAAAGATCAAGCACCTCCCCAGCCTTGGCCTACGATGATGTTAACATGTTAACCCATTATTTCCTGTCGCGAACTACATCACCATGTTTGTTGATTTCAAAACCAACATTGACAGATGATACATATTTATATTATATCATATTATTACATCTATAATTGTTGAGACATGAATCAATAAATGAAGCTCAAACCGGATCCCAAACTAAGCGACTAAGTCTGACTAAGTCTCATCAAGAAGTGAATACCTAGATAAATTCATCAAACACACACACACACAGAATGTATATTTCTACATAAATTCATATACTTGTACATATAATTACACATATATATATATATATATGTATATACATATAATATATATATAGAGAGAGAGAAACATATAGATGCTATATCTGTATCTATATCGGCTATATCTATCTATTTATCTATCTATCTATCTATCTATCTCTCTATCTATCTATCTATCTAGCTATCTATCTATCTATCTAGCTATCTATCTATCTAGCTAGCTAGCTATCTATCTATCTATCTATTCTAATCTAATCTAATCTAATCTAATCTAATCTATCTATCTATCTATCTATCTATCTATCTATCTAATCTATTTATCTATCTATCTAATGAATCTATCTAATGAATCTATCTAATTAATCTATCTAATTAATCTATCTAATTAATCTATCTAATTAATCTAATTAATCTATCTAATTAATCTATCTAATTAATCTATCTAATTAATCTATCTAATTAATCTATCTAATTAATCTATCTAATTAATCTATCTAATTAATCTATCTAATTAATCTATCTAATTAATCTATCTAATTAATCTATCTAATTAATCTATCTATCTATCTATCTATCTATATCCTATCTATCTATCTATCTATCTATCTAATTAATCTATCTATCTAATTAATCTATCTAATTAATCTATCTAATTAATCTATCTAATTAATCTATCTAATTAATCTATCTAATTAATCTATCTAATTAATCTATCTAATTAATCTATCTAATTAATCTATCTAATTAATCTATCTAATTAATCTATCTAATTAATCTATCTATCTATCTATCTATCTATCTATATATACATAGTATATTATATAAATTATATATCTATAGATCAAGTCACCAAGGCTTTTCATGTCTCCAGGCCGAAGGCGCGGTGCCTTCCTGGAATCTGCAGCACCCAGAGCTGCCGATCCTGGCGAAGGACCGGGTGCTGTCCATCAATGGCACCTCTGGGGACCCCAAGGCGCGGTGGAGGGGGCTTGGATCGTTTGGGGATGGCCGTTAAATCGATGGCGTAGATTTTTGGGTAATTTGTGGGCGTTTTTTTTGGTAAATTGTTGTGATGTTTGGTGTTTTTTTGTTTTTGTTGAGTGATTTTGGGTGATCGTATTTCATATTTTGACATAATATGAAGAATGGGTATATGATTATAGTATAGTATACAGTAGAGTAATTATCGATGATGATAATAATTAATCATAAAACAATAGATAAAACTAAACAGTAATAATAAATAACAATACATAATAATCATACGGATAATGACATTATAATAAACATAATAATAATAGTGATGATACTAATAATAATGATGATAATAAGAATTATATTGATATAATATGCATGATATGTATATACATGTATGTTTTTTGTTGCAACTACAGTATTTATAAACGTCTATAATAATGTGGTGCTACAGTAGGAACATCAGCATATGAGGGAAGAATTTGAGCATTTGAGATGGAATCAGCAAATCTGAGGATATTACCAAGAATGAAAGTAACGTTCGAAGTGGGGGATGTTCATCCATCATCATCCAACCATTTGAGCTATGATGAGGACTCAAACTCATCGGTTTCTTGATCGTGAAATCGGCGTTGTCAGGGGTGATGTTGGGACCCCAATGTACGGCCGGCTTTGCTTGTCATGTATTCTTTGAGGAAACAATACGGAACTGGAAGTTTGTGTGTGGATATATATATATATATTCTATATGATAGTTTATACTTTAGTGATAAATTCATTATGTGATACAAACACTACGTGTTTTCTCTTTTTTCTTTGTGTACATATACATATGTGTATATATATATATGTATAACACATGACACATGGACCTTTGTTGCCAGTCAGATCCCTACAGGCAATGCTGGCAGTTTGTGACTTGGATCAAAACTGGGGTGCCCTCTGGTAAACGTTTACATAACTATGGAAAGATCCACCATTGTTCATGGGAAATTCCACTATTTCGACTGGGTCATTTTCAATAGCTATGTAACTCAGTCATTACCAGAGGCTACACATTTGACATTTGGATGGTCCTTTCCACATGTGATTTACCCTCTGGAACACAACTATGGAAAATCACCATTTTTAATTGGAAAATTCACTATTTCTATGGCCATTTTCAATAGCTTTTTGTATGTTTACCAGGCCGGGTAAACACAGTGGGTGCCCTGCGTTTGAAATTTTAAGATGGGAAAGGTGACAGGCAGAACGGATGCGTGGTATGAAGAACACAGAGCAAGGTGGTGAAAAAAGACATCACTATCCACCAGCAACTTGCATGTAATGTTGGGATGATAGATATCTATATAAGATGTGAGATTCCACTCAAGTTTCTTCGAAAATGGAAAGGAACGATTTATTTGTTTTTTTTTTCCAGTCCGTGATCTAGGCCCACTTGATGGTCACCCATCGACTGCATCACAAGGTAAGAAACAGAAGAAACTGGCACTGCTGGTCCGGAACAGATCCGCAGAATCTCGGATGCAAGCCAGGAGTATCATCACTGATACCCTCTGGTAATTTGTTACATAGTTACATAGCTATTGAAAATGGCCATAGAAATAGTGAGTTTTCCCATTAAAAATGGTGATTTTCCATAGTTTTTTGTTAACGTTTACCAGAGGGTATGTTAAAGCTGAAACATATCCTGCGTTGACATGATTGACCCCCTGTGCTTGGATGGTTGGGTTAAATCGCAAGTGTTTGTTGGTTAAATACCAAGTGTTTGTTGCTGAAGTCCCTTTTTTTTGCTAGTGAAATATTGATGATTTCATATCATGTGTTAGTTAAATCACCATATTTGCATATATTTGCATATACCCTCTGGTACACTAACATATCTATGGAAAATCACCATGCTATTAATGGGAAAACTCACTATTTCTATGGGGCCATGTTCAATAGCTATGTAACAGTCATTACCAGAGGGTATTTGCTGTCTGAGTCACCAGTTTCCCTCTCAGCTGTTTTGCTGAGGCCGGTAGCATCACGTCAGCTGTGCAGACGGCAGTGGCGGAGCAAGGTGTTTTCCACGGTCGATTCATCCCCAATGGGAAGGTGTTGATGAAAAATCACCGGTTGATAGGTGGTTTATCCCATTATGAACATAGGCTTTCAACAATTTTCAACATGTTGAAAAACCATCCAAGATATGGTGGCTTTCGGCGCAATCGCTGGCCCATCCACAGTAGGTTAGAATCTTTAAGATTCTAGTATCAACCTTGTACTTATTGGAATACAAATGAATACAAGAACATTGACCCATACCCATTTATGCCATGTGTGAACAAAGATGGGTTTACCAAGCAACACTGGGGATTTAAGGACCTAGCATGGAGACATAAGGAATAGAACCATTCAAATGCTGTGGGGAAAAGGATGAGCAACCCTACAAAATCCTACAAACCCAGCTCGATTTCAAGACATGTTCAATTCTTAGACGAATTGTTGAAAATTCAATCACTTTAGCTACCTTTGAAATCTAAATGGACATCCCAGCAAAAATGCATTTTGGATGATTTTGGGGTATCCAATGTTCAGACAAATCCAAATGAGCGCTTATATAGATTGCTAATAATTGATACAAAGTCTATCAAACATATATATATAGCATTGCCCAAATATGGAGGATACCCTGAAATTGCAATTTGATGGTAAAAAAATCTTGTTTTTTGAATTAGGGATACTCGTTCTTTTATTTTTTCAGACACCCCATGGTTGATATAAAGGCCAGCATAAGTTCATTCTCGCAGGCAAGGCGGCAAAATCTGCGCCCAAATTCTTTGACTTCAATGCTACTTGGCGCAGTTTTTTATGCAGTTCTTCCATCCACTGTTTCACCGGCCATTGGAAGGTCTATCCATTTGATTCCATTTGTTTGCTGCAGATTTCCACAGTCTCTAGAACTGGTGTGTTTATTTTAATATAATTTATTGTTCAATCTTAAGTTTATAAATCGCCAGGATTATTTTCATGGTTGCTTGATCATCCCCATTTCTGGTGTATACAGAATCATTTGGCTGACTAAATCCTCTTTTGGGTTTGTCCAAAATATGGTACCCCTAAATCTACGGGTAAATCATACTTTTCTCTACTCAAATGCCGTTGTGACATGTCTCATGATATCCGCATTGAAGTTGCTTACACCCACATGTTCGCTGGTTAAATCCCAAGTATATCCCAAGTGATGTTTCTCTTGCGCAATTTATGGTATCCCCGTTTTGGTATCCCCATGTCCGGTACTTCAAGCCAAACGATCCTCATTAAACTTCTCGGAGTCCGAGAATTTGATCATGGTTTTTTTACAGGAAACCACTATGAGTACTGGATTCTTACTAGATGGGTGTGTCTGAAAATAGTGTACCCCTAAACCCAATGGTTAATGATCATTATCCCTATTAAATGGCTATAATTGGGAATATACCCTATTTTCAGACAAACCCAGATCGATCTTACTTAGTAACAACCATCCATGGTTTCAACCGAAGGTTTTCCCTTCAACATTCTTCAACCAATCCAACTTTCCTATACTTTCCTGAGGTCACAGTGGACATGTCCTTCCACACTCAGCTGGGGCTTGACGTTGACTGGGCCAATGGCAAGTCGTTGTACGTCCGACATCTGCAGGGCAGTGGTGCGGTGGAGGAGTGGAACCGGCAGCACCTGGGAGTGGAACGGTGGAGTTTCGGGCACCACCACGACAACCTTTCGGGCACTTTTTTTGGTCCAGCTGGGTTTCTGGAAGATGTTGTTACCCTCTGGTAAACTAACATAACTTACTGGGTGCGTGGGCCTCTTTGTCTGTGGGCTGCCAGCACTGGTCCAGAACTATATATAAATTTCTCAGAACTAAATATAAAATGGTCCAGAACTATATATAAATTTTGCAGAACTATATATAAAATGTGCCTTGTTTTGCCCATAGTTCACGTCCCACTGTCGGGCAATATATGTTTAAGAAGTCCACCAAATCGATCAAATGCGGGCACAATAGCCCCTTACTTGGACTTGCACAAGTCCTGTACATTCTGTAGCGAGAAGCTGGCTGAAGACAAGTGTTCACATGAGGCACATGGAATCATGCCTTTCAAAACTGGAAACTGTGTCCTGCCTTCCCTTTTGAGGCTCCATTTCCAAATGAAGCAGCCAATCCCTGTAAGCAGCCCATCCTTTTTTCCCGATGATCCCCATCCAAAGTTTCAAGATTGTGGCCAGTAAGCTGGCCAAGGGTTCAACAGGCTCCGCAACTCAGTTTGGGACATTGCTATATTGCCACTTCAAAATGCAAAGCGCACCCCAATTCATATACTTTGACAATGTGGACTGACTTGGATTTTGGTCCAAGAAACACACAAAATCACACAACACTGAATTCAAAATGATTGAAACGAATGGGATGTGTAGTGGCCGAGATCCCAAAAAAATTGTCAAACGCCCGGGCCTACCTAGTTGCCAGCTTGTTTGCCCCTGGCCCGTTTCTTGGGCTCATTCTTTGCCTCAGCCTTTGCCGCACCACGGGTGCGCTTCTTGCGTTCCGCAGCGGCCTTTGGAGCCGCAGCCTGCTTCCTGAATGCTGCTGTAAAGACCCCTTCTGAACTGGAATGCAGAATTGATATCAATGGAGTGGAAGATAGGGGATATTGAGGTGATACGAAAACAAAGTCAACGCCCGCATGGTGACACCCTGAATCCACAACATGGAACAAACCTTGTTTTTAAAATAGGTTGCTTGTGTTCATGGGAGTGGATGGGACATATCGGATTTGTCTCAATTGGGGAAAGTGAAAATACATGACATGTCTCTGTCAGGGTCAAGTTGTTGTCAGTACTACAGTACTACTGTGGTACCACTTGTCAAAGTCCAATGAGGCATTTAAACCAACGTTCATCTACCCGACCATGCCAAGTATTCTAACTTTCCCTGCAAGACATGTCGCAGGCCGCATGCGCGAAAGAAAATTAAACACAATCATTAACTTCAACGAAAACATATTATTGAAACATGCGCTGTGATACATAAATACAAACGTACAGCACATACATACATACATGCATGCATACATACATACATTGCATACGTACATACAGTATACATACAGAACAAGTTACAAACATAACATAACAAAAGTTACATGAAAGATGTTAACATGTTACATAAAAAAAATCATTTGCATGGTCAAATCATGCGTCTTTCAAAACCATGATATTATTGTATTGTAATTGTACCATGACCATTTCATGTTTAATTTGCCTTTCAAACAAACAATCATCGTAACAAAAAAATTGCCTTTCAATCATGCAACATCTAGCATAGCAGATGTAAACAAATACAATATCGGAAATAAAATATGTTAGAACTTTTCTATTCTATGTTTTTTGTACTAACAACCAGCGTCAAAGATGTTGAAAAATATTTCAATATGATATGATAAAAGGTGGCATTTTATATGTAGTTCAGAATGGTTCCGAACGGTTCCGAACTATATATAAAGTAAGCGTCTTATATATAGTTCAGAACGCTTCCGAACGGTTACGAACTATATATAAATTGGGCCTTATATATAGTTCAGAACGGTTCCGAACGGTTCCGAACTATATATAAAGTATATTTTATATATAGTTCAGAACGGTTCCGAACGGTTCCGAACGGTTCCGAGCTATATATACAGCCCGAACTAATCCGAACTACTTCGAACTACTTCGAACTAATCCGAACTAATCTGGGTTTGGGCCGTATATATAGTTCAGAACGGTTCCGAACGGTTCCGAACTATATATAAACTGAATTTTATATATAGTTCAGAACGGTTCCGAACGGTTCCGAACTATATATAAACTGCACTGTTCTTGAAATTGTGTTTTTTCTTTTTTCAACATTTTTTCAACATATATCATAACATAACATAACATAAGTAACATAAGTTAAGTTATTTTTGAAGATAAGATCAGATGAGAGTAGAGTACAGCTAACAACATCATCGAACTGAATTTCACAGAGCAACAGAGCGTAGCCATAGCTAAAAGATACGTTAACTACCTGCCTGGAACTACTCTCTACCTACTGACTCAAAACTTACCCCATCTGAATCCAATTCCAATTCCTTCAAGATCACAAAGATTTGAAATTAAACATAACTTTTTCTCCCTGGGCAAAAAAGTATGCAATGATCACTTGAAAAAAACTCAACTTCATGCGCTGAAAATTACATCCGGAAATCTGAAACAAACTAAAACAGGGAAGCCAAAGCGAAGAACTTGAAGAGTAACAGTTCTAATGTTTCAGCATTCCCCATGGCCAAGATGCAAGGAGCGAGGCATGCTGTATGTCCAAGCTGTCTCGTTCCTTGCGGTTGAAAAGGGCCTGCTTTTCCCGTGGCAAACTGGAAACATATTTGGCCCCGAGCTCATTCGCATATACTCCATCCGGAGGATCTTCAATTTCTGCTGCGCGGCATCTAGGACGTCCCCTCCTGGCGAAATCTGTGAATTTCTGGGCCCTCCCTGAAAGCTTCACCGCACGCCTCCACGCAAGACTCCCCGCGAGACACCGCGGGAGTCCACGCGAGACACCGCAAGAGTCCACGGGAGACTCCGGACGGGAAATCGTCTTCCCCCCCAAAAAAACCCTATGTATTCAATTTAGTATTTGAACTATATATAAATTTCTCAGAACTATATATAAAATGGTCCAGAACTATATATAAATTTCTCAGAACTATATATAAAATTTCCGGGAAAATTCCGGGACTTCCGGGGGAATCGCACGGGATCCCGGGGCAAGGTCTGCGAGCGGGAAAACACGCCATTGAACTCTACCCGGTTGACTGATTCCACCCAAAAAACGATTCAGAATATAATAATCTTGGGGGGGGGCTAGTAGATTCTTGAAGGTGGAATCAATAAAGGTATCTACTATGGGATGCTGACCGGTGTAAACTACCATGGCATGAAATGTAACAACGCCGGACCGGGCCATACCAACAATCAATCATATCAAGCGGCCAAATCGTATAAAATGGGCAGTCCTGGGCAACTGGTGGGGGAAGCAGCCCTTCCCTTGGTTGGGAAAAATGACTGCTGTAAAGATGCAGGAGTCTGACAAAGCAAAAATGATAAGGGCCACTGCCTTAAATCTTGTGGGTGTCGTGCCCCTTTGTTGTTGCCAAGGTCCTAACCTGTATCATATGCTGCAGTCATATGTATTCGATTCGTATTCTGTTTGAAATGGTACGTAGCATACATAATTGATGTTGACCTGTTGAGAACATCGTATTCTGGAAAATGAATTAGTAGATGTTTTTTGCCCTTAGCTTTGACTACAGCCACAACTTGGGAGCCAAGATTCCGATCCATGTGCCTGTCCCAGCTCCAGCACAAGCCTCTGTCACCGTGATCCTTGAAAAACTGGAAAGATCTGGTGGGGAGATAGAACATGTTTTTGCCAAGTAAGCGGTAAGCGCCATGAGAACGGTGTTTTTAAGCAAACAACTGTGGTGCAATGGTTGTAATTTAGTATTGTATAAAATAGCGTGATTTTAATACACACAGGGCCAAAAGAAGATATGACATCACTAGGTTGTAAACTAGAGACCACATGTGGACAAGTCCTTTTAGCCAAGAAACTTTGCTCTGTCACTTGTGGAACATTTTCCACGTAGGCCAGCGCTTTGCGGTAGTAGCGGAAATAGTCACGTGGGCCACATTTGGTCCTTCCTTAGGCAGTTGATAGGTTGCTTCTTGGGGGTACAGTATACAGTATACAGTATACAGTATACAATATACAGTATATGGTACAGTATATAAATATATAAGTAGTATATGTTGAGAGACCAGATCATGTAAGGCCAGGAACATGTTTGCCCCATGGACGCTCGTATGACTCATAGTTTCATAGCATGCATCGTCTGGAAAAACAAATCTGATATTGACAAGATATTGATATGGATCGAAACCTTATGATGAGCAACAATGAAATGACATGATATAAGATGATGTGGTAAGATGGTTGTGAAGACATACCACATATGTGGTGTGATGCCCCATTCTGATCAGATCACTCCATGATAGCTGTTCTGAATCAGTTCTGAATCTAAAAATCTGACTAGTTGTGCAGCAAGTACTGGGTTGTACGGAAAGTATTGGTATTCGAAAGGTAGCAATGGTGGACTAGTAGTAGAATACTCGGAATGCTACACTATCTACACGCCGCGTACACCCAGATCTTAATACTAAATTTAAACTAATCTAGAGGAAGACAGGTTGTTTTCAACCACGTGTGTTGGGAACCTATAGATGGCGCAAAACATCCCATCCCCCAAGTGGTCTATAGATGGTGCATTTCAAAAATGAGCGCCTTCCATTTTCACAATGGAGTAACTTAGATGTAAGGCAAGCAACGGATCGTCACTGTCATCAGTGTCTGTGCGGATGAAGCCGCCAAACAATGCCATTGCCCGCGCCAGCCCGAATGCCAAGTTACGTGTGGAAAAGCAAGAACGCAAAAAAATTGCCAAACCTTTGAACATCTTAGATGGCATCTAGGGATGGCTTTTGGACATATTCTGACATGTACTGAGATGATGATTTGAACCTTTCCACTCAGAGCTTCCGTCATTTGAACCTTGGTTAGCGGAAGGAACTTTGTCGACTTTTCGTTCTTGCGCGCTTGGAGGTTTGGGGGGGTGGGGGAGGTGGCAGTGGTGGCAGTGGTAGGGGGTAGCGGAGTAGCATTGGTAAAGATGTGTGCGCGGGTCGCTTGGGTGGTGATGGTGGTGGGGGTGGTGGCAAGCGTCGCTTATGTGGCTGTGATTGTCCCGAAGCAGTGAGTTGTGGAGGGGCGGTGGTGCTGGGAGTGCAAGTTTGGGAGTGGGGCGGGCACTATGCTGCTTGTCTTTCCTCTTTATTCGCACTTTGCGGCGTACCTTGACCCTAACCCGCTTTGTGGCTGAACGCTTCATTGACGCAAAGCCCAAAGCCCAAATTATATGGAAAACAGTGAGCGGAAGGGAACATATTCCTACCAAAAATTGTTGAGGGTTCAATCTGAAGCCAGAATGGCAAAGAGGAATCATAGGTGGGCCATTAAGACATTTAAAACTGATGGTAGGAGTATGGCGCAACCATACAATATATAACCACACATTTGTGAGGTTCATCTCATTGCCGCTGTTTGCATTTTTATGTCTATGGAAAACCCGCCAAATGCTCAAATAAGCAGCGCGCATACACACGTACACCAACGACATCCAACAACCATGTTAAAAAGATTTAAAAAGTCTTATGTTAATGGGTGCATGGGCCTGTAACCCCAAAATGGATGGTTATTTTTATATATAGTTCTGGGGATTTTATATATAGTTCTGAAGCATTTCATATATAGTTCGGAGAATTTTATATATAGTTCTGAAAGCCAAAATCTGTTTGACAGAAACCCAACATAAAGAGGCCCATGCACCCATTAAAACATAACTATGGAAAATCACCATTTTTAATGGGTAAATCCGAATCCACTATAAATTACCATTTTCAGTAGCTATGTTAGTTTACCAGAGGGTAATGCCATTTCCATTTATCATTTGTCCCCTTTTTTTGGACCCATTCTCATCTAAGTTTGTTGGTCAGAATTGTCCTTCAGCCACTTCTGCTTTGATCATGGCTTGATTTTTTCAGGTTGATCATGAGTAAGATTTTAAGATCCCTTAAACCAACCATATTCAACTCAATAAATCTGGTAAATCCATGTAAATCCCAATGTTTCTTGGTTCAATCAGAAGTCCAATGATATTTATCTAATCACTGTGGTGAGGTCCCTTGAAATGACCCATCACAAAAGTCCGTCAAAGCGAATCAACCCAAATCAACACGAATTTCCCTTCACTCAGTAGTTAGAAGGGGGATAAGTAGGGTTTCTCCACTTCATTGGAAATAATTTACCATTTCCTACGGTCCTAAGGTGCGCCACCACTCGTCCGTCTCAGGCACCCCGCCCACCTGGCGGTGCACGCGGGCGACCGCATCGTGGCAGTGAATGGTTTTTCGGAGGATGCCCAGGCAGGGAAGGGGAGGGGAAGCTATCCAAAGTGGTTCACTCAATTTCTGGTTGGTGCTTTGGAACATGAATTTTATTTTTCCATATATTGGGAATAATCATCCCAATTGACTTTAATATTTTTCAGAGGGATAGGTCAACCACCAACCAGATAATGGTGGGAATAATGGTTGTTAAATGTTATATTAATGGATATGAATGGGTATTGATCTGGTAAATTTTAACAACATCACAGCGACCTGACTGGAATACAATGGAATCATGGTTGATAAAGGTATCCCACACACTAGTCTTATTTCGGGTTACCCTCTGGTAAACTAACATAGCTATGGAAAATCACCATTTTTAATAGGTAAATCAACTATAAATGGCAATTTTCAATAGCTATGTTAAATTACCAGAGGGTATAGTGAAATACTTTACACACAAATTAGTGATGAATCCTGAACAGATTGAAAAAACAACTTAAGGATGTGAGTTTTTTTTTTAAAAAATATCCAATTAAAATAGAGGACTGGGGATCTGTGGCAATTTAGATGGCTTTTAACGTATTTTGTTGTGGGGAATGAGAGATTTAACACCTGATTTATCCAAAATGGTTAATTTATGCTAATTTCAACATTGTTAATCGTGTTGTTTAATGTATTTTGGGAAGAAAACGAGATTTGAAACATCATGTCATTCAATATGATAAATGCTCAACGATTAATCCAGGGATTTATAAATGATAAACTAGTTTCGAGATCCAATTACGATGGTGAATTGCGGATGTATGTCAATTCTTAGTCGGTTCTCAATGTATATATATATACATAATTATACAGACATATAGTACATATAATTGTGGGAAAATGATGTTTGAAGCCAGTTGATTTAGGGCAATGACTCAAAAGCATTTGTTGTCTCAGGAAACTTGATGATTCCCCAGGTCCATTGGGATACCCAAAGTTTGACAAATTCCCTGTGGGTGAACCATAAATGGGCTTGTCCTTCGGCCAAGTTGTGTCCTGTCCTTCTCAGGCAACTGTTTCTGGACTGAGTGTGGCATGATATGGCCATTGATGCACCACTGTTTGTCTTGGTTTTTAGATGTGGATCATAATCGGTGGCATCGAAAAAAGCTGGGCTGTCCTATGTTTATCTATGTTTTGGATACTGGATACTCATTGAGGTACTGGTAGCCCGAAATTCAGATCTAATCGTGGATAATCGTGGATATAGCACACCTCATCCCCTTATGTCCTGTAACGAAAACAAGCTTCCCTCAGGGCATGCTGAGCCTGTGCCGCGATCTCGTGCAAAGCCGGAGCAGTTTCTTGCTACGCGTGCGGGGACCACCGTGTCTCGGTGTGTTAACTTTGGGCGAAATACTTTGGAAGGATGGAATATGATGGAAACATAATATGTACCCTCCGGTAAACTAACATAGCTATTGAAAATGGCCCAGTCGAAATAGTGGATTTTCCCATTAAAATTATGGTGATTTTCCATATGTTAAATTACCAGAGGGTAAACTATTTGAATCTAAGTGAATTCACAATGAATCAAAGAATGTTCGGCAACTGCTTTGGGTTATCTCCATGCTTTTCAGGTATTCGCATGTTGGTTGTTCTATTCCCGAAGCATTATTTCGAGTACTCTTGATTACTGTATAATGACACATTCTTGCGATATGTGCAACCCGAAATTCAGGATTGTTGTGGCTAGTCATACCATCATACTTCCTGATGGTTGCACCAATCTGACCAAGGCCACCCCCTGAGAACAAGGAGAGCTGGCCAAAGCTGGGAAGCTGTGGGATGTAGCAGTCAGGTTTATTGCTTTCTTCGGATCTCAGCAGATTCAAGCACATCCCAGAAAATGAAGAGATTGGAGTTGAGTTGGCTGAAAGGCTTGTTGGTTTAGTGTGGCTTGAAATCTCTATTTGTCCGCCAGGATTCCCGGGAGAGAGACAAGAAGGAGAGTGACAGTGATGGTGAGAAGGGCAAGGAGAAGGTCAAAGAGAAGGACAAGAAGAAGGACAAGGAGAAATCGAAGAAAGAGAAAGAGAAGGAGAAGGAGAAGAAGGACAAGGAGAAATCGAAGAGAGACAAAAAGGAGAAGGACAAGGATGAGAAGGAGAAGAGTCGCAAAAAAGCGCGCTCCTCATCCAGCTAATGTTTGGTGAAGCACCGCAGCAAAAAGCGGAAATTCTCGGCGGCGCTGGGAGGTTCCTGGTGGCTTGGGAGGGAGCGAGCAGGCAGAGTTTGGGCTAGCAAGTGACGAATTTGTGTCGCGTGGATCTTAATTAAACAACAACCATGAATCAACAATACAAGAATATTGCACCCCAAAAAATCAGTGGTTATCATCATTCATCACGTTTCCCCATTAAAGTTGCAATTCTGGGGCATACAGCATGGATATTTCATTGCCTCCGGCAGGCATCCAATCGCCAGTATTGAGTGGGAGCACCACTACACAAAAAAAACACGGCGTTTTGATTCTGCACAGGCTGTACTGGATACCACAGGAAACTCCGATATTTCGTAAGTGAATTATTTCATGTGCGACACAGTCGAGGTCAGTAACCTCGACTGACCCATGGATGTCTTATTTTGATTGAATATTCTGCAACTGTTTGGATCTCCATCGCTCTTCAAAAATCTTCAAAATTCTTTGGTGATCTGAGCCGCAGCATCGCGCAGCCATTGTTATCATTGTTCCATCTTTCAGGGTTTTGGAGAGACCACAAGATAGGAGCTTGTGATGGGGCAAGCTTGTGATGTGTGCTGCGGTGTCCGAAGGAGCTGTGATGGGAGCATTTGAGGTCTTAGTCAAGAGGTCAAGGATGCTTATGAAGCGGCAGGTTCTCTTGTCGGGCGTTGTCCTGATGTACCAAGGGGGAATTAAGGTTAGGAATGGACGTGAAGCTTGTGCCACTGTCGCAAACAGGGTTCCACAACGCGTGGTTCGAAGCAAAAACAATGCTTGCCCCCAGCCATGCAGGAGTGGCCGGAACCAAATCTGAGGCTGGGTGTTGCTACTCTGACGTCGAAAACCCGGAAGGTTTGTGTGCTTGCACCGGCTGCTCAAGGGTTTGAAGTAGATCGCTCCAAGTGATTGGGCACAGGGCACATTGTTCATGGCAAATTCTGCGTCATACATCTTAGTTTTGTCATACTTTGTCGTGACCTGGTGCAACTGCTGCAACTGCTTTGTTACGTGCCCATAGTCACTTGCACTTGTTGATAGTTGCGTGAGTGCTTTAGACACCTTGACTACCTACGGGCAAATGACGCGATCATTGGTGCCTGTTGTGGCTAACCAGAAACAACATTCCCGCAACGCCGACTCCTGATCTGCAAGTCTTCAACCTTGGCTGTGATCGAGTGATGCTGCGATAGACTGGGGCTCTAGTAACACTGATAGTGAACCTAGCTAAAAATTGCTTGATGGCCATACAGCAATTTCATGACGCCGAACAGGCCCAGTTTGGTTTCACCGAAGCATCGGGTTTGACCCAAGACCCACGTCGCATTTGAAGGTTTCAAAATTGGAAGGCCTAGGGCCCCTAGGGCTCCAAACTTTAACATGGGGCTGCTTCTGGCTGGCTGCACGCGGTCAAGCCCTATTACTATCGCCACATGGGGCTGTTTCTGAGGATTGGAGGCGTCCGACTTGAGATGCTGAGATGGGTTTGTGTGGGTACCCTGATATTGACGGGTTAATTATATAATCATGTTCTGCTTAACCTTACTGCAAAACCCAAGCGCATGGAAAAAAACGGGCTGGACCACCTGGGTTTGAAAAAACGCGATGGAAAACAAAAAATGCGATAAAACCAAAAAAAATGCAGTCAATGTTGCCAAACTGCGGCACCCACAGCCTCATTCTCTGTTAAGCCTGGGCACCATGGATTCGGAGAATTGGTTCTGCATGTGGTAGAGAGGCGGCGGGTTCTTGAAATTCTTGGTCCATGGCCACAAATGCTGGAAATTTTGGTTTTAAAATGGTTGAAAAATATGTCCGCAAATTTCCGCGATAAAATGTTCGGTATTGTTTTGGGTTTCTACAAAAAATGTGTGGCAAACATGTTTTCAACCCGTCGTGAAAGTTTAGCCCAGGCATATCCCCCAATCCTTTTGGGGATTGCCTTTATCATATCTTCAGCCAAGTTGGCATACTTACTATGACTTACCATGTAATGGAAAGGGCGGCCAAAGCGTGTGAAGAACCCGAGAACCCTGAAGCGACAAAAATTGCGATATTTCAAATTTTCAAGTCTTTCCCATCCCAGATTCCCGGATCTTCAAAAAATAGGTTTTTTAAAATGGGTATGGATCAATACCTATAGATACATTTTTAGTGGGATGAACATCCATTTACCAGCTATTTTGATGTTCACCAGGGGTACAAGGTTTTGACACACTGCCAAATATCACATTTTTTTCTGGTACTTAGGGCGCCCCAGGTATTTACTGATATTTAATGTCCATTGAAGGTATGTCCATTAGACGCACCCAGATGGCCAGCTGAAATTTATTCAGGCCGGAGGATCTAACATGGAACTCCCACATGGCACAGGCGTTGTGTGAGCTGCTGCCTTTTGGGCCCGGGAAAAACACATTGAGATCATCACATGGAAAATACAGATTTTGAGAAGTTGATGTAGAATATTGAATAATTATATCGTCTATATCATGATATTTGTTTTCTTCGAACAGAATTAGCTGAACTAGCGCACACCTCATCTGGAAGTATCCAAGATAGGCCATCAAGGTTGCTCAAACACCATTCAGCTCTAGTTTTTTAAGCGTGGAGATAGTGCCTGGCAGAGACAGCTGGAAACTCAGTTGGGCGTCGGGGTTTAACGTGGTACAACACTTTAATGAAGACTTGATGGTTGGCGTTTGGTTAAGATTTTGATTGCTCCAGCATGTATCTTGTATTTTTCCAACGTGCAGTGTGCAACCCAAACATTTTCTTATGCTGAAAACTAAGCACCTGAAGAAACGTTAGGTTTTTTTGTTTCGTAATTTCATGGTTCCAATCCCATCTCTAGTGACAGCAATTCCAGGGGCAGAATTCCCACTGACTGGCACTAAAGAAATGCAGAATGGGTGGATGCCCGCTGTTGTTGATTGGCATCTTGGTCGGAATCCCAACAAAAATGGGATACCCCCTCCCGAAATCTAGCTTGGCATTTTCGAATCTCCATTTGCATGGTTTTTTGCGTGCACGATTTCCATGGCACCCCAGGTTTTTCTGTTTTGTTGCCAGGTTTATTACCTTATGGTAAACATTGGTAAACTAACATAACTATGGAAAATCACCATTTTTCATGGAAAAATCCACTATTTCTATGGCCATTTTCAATAGCTATTTTGACATAACCAGAGGGTATTCCATATTATTCCCAGACTGTACCAGATTGCCGGATTGCATCCGGGTGAAATTCCCAAGTTACTAAGGCCGGCCATGGCACAACAGTCGCTGACGCCGCGACAGGCCGATTCATCCTGCCGTGGACAAGAGATGGTAGAACCATGTAGAACCATTTTTTTGATGGCAAGCGTTTGAACATGCTTGTGACTAAGGCTAAGGTGCAGTATGTTTTTGATTGTTTTTGTACTGTACCTATTGAAACTGACCACAGAATCTGTGTCGGCTGGATTTGGGTCGTTCAGGGTGTGATGCCGCAGAAGCCGCTTGGTCAACAGGAACATGGGGCGACTGATCCAAGAGGATAAGACAGCAATGACATTGGACAGTGGACGATAAACAAAGTGGTATGGGTTGTCCGAAAATTGGGTATACGCCAGATTCCCATTTTGATATTTTAAATGAAATCATCAGCGTCATCAACCATCAAATTTGGAGTAAACATGGATACGCTATTCTAATCTTTCAGACAAGCCAAAATTGTTGCTCTTCAGTGTCGGAGTGATTTTTCAGCGCTCTTCTGCTTTGGGATAGCTATGATTCAATCTATCCTAATCATGACATATCATGACTGCACATGATTACGGTCCCTTATTGAAACTATAATGACACTGACAATCTGACACTGATGCATCTCCGAAACTGTTGATGAATTTTGTGAAGAGTGGCTCAGCCACCAGTCATCACCAGTCATTGTACCCCTGATCACTGGTGGAAACGCTGATCCCAGTAGTACAGGATGGGTTGAAATCACCAAGCGTTTAAACCTTCGCTGTCCTGAGGTTACGCTCCGAAAGGCCGGCCTAGGGAATCCCGTTGCTGGAATTGTGCATGGGCAAAGTTTGAAACCAGAAACAGATACAAACAGATTGTACAGACTAAATCAGACTAAGAGGCTACTTTTTGTCACCTCTTGGTCACCTCTTGCCCTGAGAAAATCCGAGAAAATCCGAGAATTGGGATCCAAAAAAATCCAAAAAATGGATCCCAACATGGCCCTAGAAGCCACGAAAAATGCAACAATGCACTGCCGGGATGGTCGGTGGTAGCCTTTCATAAAAGGACTTCACCACAGCGCCACAGCTTGCGCCAGGCGTATCCTGGGTGATTTGTCCAATACACAATGTCCTGCTGCGTGCTCGGTGGCGGCCGGGAGTGATCATCCGGCATGATTCGACAGGTGTTTAAACGTGTTTTTATCGTTTTTTAGTATCTGTTAGTGGATTTATTGGATTCTAGGATTTAAATGGATTTAATATAGTCAATGGATGGAAAGATGTTGGATCAGACTTGGGAGTACACACTTTTTGGGATCCCTCGAAGCCTCAAAGTCACCCTTTCAAAAGAAGCTACAGATAGGGCTCGCAAGGAAATAGAGCTGCTGGGGTGGTGCTCTTGTAGGAGCAAACGGATCAACTCACACATAGAGCTGGCCTTGACTCATGGCTGTCCAAATAGCAGGACCCCGGGCAGCTTCACATCGCTGTATAGTATGTTTTTTGTATGGACTCATTATAGTCAAAAGCTCACCCACTTTGACCCACACCACTGATAATATAACAATCAATGGATTGGTTTAGGGGAAAAATTACAGGAAAACCCCATATTGAATGGTAAAACCAATGGTTTCCTGTAATTTTTCCCTTAAACCAATCCATTGAAACAATATGTGTCAGTGTCAAAACCCTGGTGAAATTTTCCAGAAATGTAACCTCTGGTAAACTGTTACATAACTATGGAAAATCACCATTTTTCATGGGAAAACTCACTATTTCTATGGCCATTTTCAATAGCTATTTTGACATAACCAGAGGGTATATAGAGCTTGCCCAAATTTCGTTTGAAATTCCGATCTACCAAGGGCACGCACAACGGTGGCTGTGGCGGAGAGAAGTCACCTGGCTCATCCAAGATGCCGCAGTTCAGAAGTTCTAGCCCAAAGGATCCAATAAAGACAGTTAAACGTTAGTTTATCCAAAAATATCTACCCCAAAAAATATCCAATATCCAAAATTGCAATTTTCAGGGAGAAGATTCTGAATTACCACCCAGTTTTATCAAATCTTAAGATCAGTGGGATTCAACACACACACACACCTGAATTGGAGGGGTCACCTTTGGAAGAACTATCCCATGAAAAATATACGCCAATGATGCCCTATGAAAAACTTGAATTTATGCCGCCAATTTTGTTGGTTGAATCACCATTTACCATACTTGACCAACCCAGCGTAAAACATATCATCCTTATGTTTGGTATAAATAGGAAACATAAGTCAAATATAAGTCAACCATTCTAGATCATTTGATTTCAACCATGTTCAACCATGTTCAACCATTCCTGGTTGGTGGTTTCAAACATTTTTTATTTTCCATAATATATGGGATAATCCTTCCCATGGACTTTCATATTTTTCAAGATGGTTATTGCACCACCAACCAGAACCATTCTATCTCCCAAAATTTGTGGGTTACATCCCCCATGATCAGATCCAGCCATTTTGAGATATTTTGAGGCGCGAAGCCAGCGGACGCCCCAAGCCCACGCGGGACGCCTTCCGCGTTTTCACCGGAGGTATCTTGGCCACGTCTGGATGGGTGATGAATGGGATATCATGGAATATACAGTAACTGTAACTTATATGACTACCAACAATATGGCATAATGGGGGATATCATGGGGATCTTTGTTGCATAATTTCACAGGTTGGAGTTCACTATAAACTTCAATCAACAAACAAATCATCCAAAACACTGGGATAGGAATCATGGATAGAAAGCGATCAATCAACTGGTTCCATCCAATAGCCGAACGAGACCGGATAACGTTGTTTGACATCATGATGTTGACAGACCCTCAGCAGAGATGCAGAGAGTAGGTTGGGGTAGCTGTGATATGCTGTGATATCACTCAGCCACTCAGCGCTGAATTTGTGAGCTTTGCTGAGATTGACGTTCACTATCTAATCCCCCTAATCTCACATACCATCCCATTTTGCCCCCAGAAATGAACAGATCCAATACGATTCTTCTCCCAACAACTGCCACCCAGCTTGGAATGACCTGTCGCCCTGGTCGCCCTGCGGGTCACTTTGGTGAGGCGAGAACGAGAATGAGCCGCCGCCCAAAGAGGTGCTTTTAGATCGTCAGATCGGCGAACCGATTTCAGTCGGTCGATTTCATGGTGGATTTCATGGATTGATCCAAGGGTTATTTTCAATGGAACTTATCTACAGAAAGCCACGGATTTATATACCTCCAAACATGGGGTTTTTAAGCGCAGATGTTCCAAGTCTCGGATTGACAGCCTTGACAAAAAGTGACACAGTGACACAGTTGCGCAGTGGCTTTGCGATCCGTGGCATGAATCAAGATTACCACATGGTATGGGTCCTAGTTGATCTAGTTGGCAAATGAATATTCATTTCCCCCCAGCCCCACGATATATCCACAGGTTTGATTGTTAAACGATATGAAATCCCCAAATTTTCATGGTTTGAATGGTGGAATCCACAATCTTCCATTTTTTCGAGCTAGCTCAAAACATGTAGCTGGCTCAATTTCATCAGGGGTATGTTTTGACAGCCACCTTGGGCTTTTTCAGAGGTACCATATCTAGTACTAAAGTAATCAGTGGGGACTGAACCTGGCAATTTAACACATTGGGAAGTTTCTGCGAGCTCGCTCAACTGCAACGAGCTGGCTCAGCACCATCGAGCTCGCTCAAACACATCGCTCTAGCTCAGGGGCATCGAGCTAGCTCAATGGCATCGAGCTGGCTCAATTTTTTCAACGAAAAAAAAAACGAAAAAAAAAACGCCAAAAAAATTGAGCCAGCTACGTCACGTTGAGCTGGCGGACGAATGTGAGAGCATCAAAACGAATACTAACTATGTATTGGCCGGGTTCATGACGCATTGGCGAGCCGGCTCAAGGGCATGTAGCCGGCTCAATTTCTGCGAGTTTTTTTTTTTCCCCGCTAAAAAAATTGAGCCAGCTACGTGGCGCTGAGCCAGCTACGAGGCGCTGAGCCAGCTACGTGGCATTGAGCCAGCTACGTGGCACTGAGCCAGCTACGTGGCACTGAGCCAGCAAGGTAGCTTTGATCTTTGAGCTAGCAAGGAGGCAGTGAGCCAGCAAGGTAGCTTTGAGCTTCATCATATATATATATATACCTATGCAATCCCAACCATATAATATACTAAATCTATAAATCTAGGGCAAAACATTTTTTTTTGAGGGAGACACGTACCTTTGAGCTGGAGCGGGAATGTGAAATCTACCATTCGAATGGTCAACAGCGTCAACACCTGAATTTCTTGGTTCCCATCCCCACCATCCCTAAACCCACCAGCTGTTTAAGGTGAAATCCAGCGAGACCAGTGTAAGGCAACTGGGTGGCCTTGAAGATCGCCCGTGGGCAACCACAATGGATTAGATACTCCACCGGTGTTTCTAGAGAATGTTGGCAACTTAATGCCATGAAAAGATACGTAGCCTTTGGGGAAGGTTTATACCACCCATAAAAAAGTTGATGGGCTGGGATTGTTTATTATTGGCTTTACCATAATTATTCAATGTCAGAGGGAAAGGGTTACACAAAGCGTATCAACACGTTCTGGATTCATACCATAGAAATCTTTGTGGGGCCGAAAGGATAATTAATTCCGAATAGATCCCTGATACAGTAGATACACAGAAGCGTTTTTTTCCAGGATGTCATCGATGATGATTTGAATTTGTCAAGTCATAATCTGATTTATTTTGTAGATTTCCAACTGGTCTGTCCATGTTGGGGCGCCAGCAGTCACACTGCAAGATGCTTCAAAATTCCTGCAGCATATGGAACACAAAAAAAAACCGCAGATCATGGGATACATTACACACCCTACAGCATAGAAAAGTATCATCCTTATAGATGGGTTTGGAAGCGAATTTGACCAGTCCCTATTGTTTCCCAGGGGTTTCCCAAGGGTTTTCCCATGTTTCCTTGATTGTTTAGGTGGAGCGACATTGCAGAACTGGGATTTGAGGACTGGCTGTGCGGTGAAGGGAACCACAGTTATGATACATTATATTTATATATATATTTATTTATGACAATACCCATAGGATCCATGGTGCTGCTATATATGGTAACATGGATCCCATCAATATACCCCAGTCATGTTAGCATATATACCAGCACCATGGATCCTATGGGATATATAGTATGATTTACATTGATTTACCCTCTGGCTATTTAACAGTTCGCCATGGACAATCGCTGGCCCATTTCTAGATGAGGTTCCCAGCGAACAAAACCTCCATTTATGGTTGGGATTTTCCATGGCGAACTGTTAGTCATATCCAGATGGTAATAATATTTAACTTATATAATATACGTAACATAAGATACATAAGATGATATGATATATATATAGTCTCTTCTACTCTATTCTATTCCTATTCCTATCCCCTTTCCTATTCCTATTCTAATCTAATTCTTTTCTCTTCTGTTCTGTTCTATTCTGTTCTTCTATTCGATTCTATTTTATTCTAGTGAGTATTGACCAGATTCAGGTGCAAGGGGCTGCACCAATTCTCAGTAGCAAAGGCAGAACTTTTAGTAGGCCCCAGTCGATCCTTTGTGAACATTGTGAACTCTGCTCTCTCGCAATCTAACCCTGGAAATGGGGACTTCTTCATTTCAACGCAAAATACAAGGTACAGTAAATCCCGTACAAGTGGATGATTTTCCATTGCAAGGTTTGGTGAATACAGACTGTACAGTCTCGGAGCGAAAAGAAGCGGTCCATTTGAGTCGTTGATCCAGTTTGGGTGTCTGGTCAACTCTGCCTGCGCGCCATCCACTGGAATCCCACGGCAAGGAGCTCCCAGATATCGATTGCTTTGCAAATCCTGAGCCAACTGATGCTGCGAAGTATTGGAAACCCTTCTGGGAGGCGGGAGTCAGCTTTTCTGTAGCAGTGACGAGTGTGGACAGCGTGCTATCCAGCTATCCCCAAGGATAGCCATATGGATCCATATGGGGAAAAACCGTCAAAACCTTTGAAATACATGGAACATCAATGAAATTTCGGGGTTTTCATCCATGGAAAATAACAATTTTTTATAGGTAAACCATCTATAAATGGGCCATTTTCCATGGCTATGTTAAATAACCAGAGGGTAGGTATTGATTTTATTGACCCATCAAATCCCAGCGATTTTTGGGTGAGTTTCCCCAGGGGTTTGCCAGGGCGGCCCCGCCGATCCCAGAGTTCTGGTTGGGGGAGCCCAGTTGCTGGGCCATTTGGCGCGACGAAAAAAGTACACTCATCTCATGTATATATATATATATATTCCTGTATATATATCATATATCATATATCATAATATACATCATATATCATCATATATCATAATATACATCATATATCATCATATATCATCATATACATCATATTTCATATATCATATGCATACATGATAATTAATATGATGATACATTATCCATGATGGAATATGCAAAAAGCAAAACACGTGGCACGGCTTCCAGGCCGATGGCCTGGCGAATACCATGGACGTGGCGGATCTGGAGGCCTGGCCCCATGGAAGTCCCGTTTTTTCCCCATCTTAGTTGGTGAATCCATGGATTAGGATGGTGAATCCGTAGATGAATAGGATGATTCCCACTAACATTCACCAATATGGGATGATTCTTACCCTCTGGTAAACTAACATAATTAGCTATTGAAAATGGCCATAGAATCATAGAAATAGTGAGTTTTCCCATAAAAAATGGTGTTTGCTATTGAAAATGGCCATAGAAATAGTGAGTTTTCCCATGAAAAATGGTGATTTCCCATAGCAAACTGTTAACGTTTACCAGAGGGTAGTTGGTGACTTCATCTCCGAGGCTTGGGATTTCTGGGGGTCCCGGCTGAGGCGCAACGTATGGATGCCCTCATCCGGGAGGTGCCAGGAACATCCAAGACATGCCGAAGGGAGGTAGATGCATAGAGAATCATACTGTATACTGTATAGTATATCTATATAGATAATATGATTGAGAAAGTTACATAGAATCCATGAGACAGATGCGCTGTCCGCAGGCGCCTTGAGTTGTGGCTCAGGAGTAAAACAGAGCTTTTGCGCTCTGGGTTTTGCCCACTTGTTTAGTGGTAGCGGAGCCCGGCACGGCCGGGCAGTCTGACCCGCTGTCATGGCGGGAGCTTCGCAGGACTATGGAGCTACAGGACAACGAAGACATCGGCGGCGTCGTGGTGGCGCTGCAGCTGGTGTGGGAGATGCAGATCGACCTCAGGTGGGAGGTGAAGAACGACCTCAGGTGGGAGACGCAGAATTCGGCCACCAACCTGGGATCTATGCAGCGACAACTGGCAACACCCAAGGTGATCGCGCCAGTGCTGCTGGAGCCGGGTCGTTCGATCCTTCTATGTCGTCTACATCGATGCCAAGCTCCATGGTGAACAACATGAGCCCAATGACCAACACCCCTGCGGGCTTTTCGATACCCACCACAAGGACGACGTATGGAGCCTCTGGTGATGGAATGAACTATGGGTTGGGTGGACTGTCCTACAACCCGATGGGCTATGGACCGCAAGCCTACGGCTATGCTGCAAGTCCTCTTGGACCTTTCCAACAACTTGGAAGCCAAGCCAATGGATGCGCAAGTGCGGTCTATCAGAGCCCTTGGACGATTCCACATCAACAAATTCCTCTATCACCAGGAGTATGTTTTTTTTTCGGCAGGAACTACCTCAACAAGTTCCTTCTGGTCTACGTCAACAAGTTCCTTCTGGACTACCTCAACAAGTACCTTCTGGACTACCTCATCAAGTTCCTTCTGGTCAACCTCAACGAGTTCTTCCGGGACAAGGACATCAGGACGCTTCGAGTAGACAGCCTGGTGGCATTCCTCCTGACCCTCTTCAAGCTGCTGACCCATGGAGAGGATATCAACCCTCGACTTCGACCAATGCGATGCCAGTTCAGACCGCCCAGGACTTTGTGAACGGCCTGAGAACTGGTGTTCAAGATGCTCGAGCCAGACCAGTGGCATCAGCGTTTGAAGCGCTTGGGAAAACGGTGCCTACATCACCAACTCCGGATTCAAGTCCAAATCAATCAAGTTCTACGGAAGACTGGTTCAAGAAGTTGGTGGAGGCCTTAAGTGGGGACAAGCGTGCTTCAGTACCACCTTGGTCAGGAGCACCTTCTGGCTTGAGGAGTTGGTTGAAGCAGCTTGGAATGTGGGAGCAGGAGACAACCACTCCGAAATCTCGTTGGGGCATAAAGCTGTATTCAGCTTTGGGAGAAGAGGCAAGACGCATAGCAGATGTGGTGCCCCCAGAAACTTTGACTACGGAAGCTGGATATGCTGCCATACTCACCACCCTCATGGCTCGCTACAAACCATACCTGGAGGCAATTGGGCCTCAGTCGGTGGACAACTTTGTCTACAGTGGTGATCGAGCCCGTGGTGAAACTTTTGCAGCTTTCTTATCCAGAAAGGAGGTTCAAAAGCAGGAGCTTGAAAGCCAACTTGGAGGTGAAGTCCTCAATCCTTTGGTAGCAGGACGAATTCTACTACGTCAAGCTGGACTTTCCGAACAACAACAGCAGATGATAGCTTTGAAGACGCATGTGCTCTTGTCGTATGAGGAGGTGGTCAACGCACTACGACCTTTGGATCGCCTGGAAACTCTTTCGAAGGCAGCTGCTCTTCCTGGTGCAGTTCCAGTACAGCGTACTTTTCTACAAGCTGGTGAAGATGCTGATGGAACTGAAGATGAAGAAGAACCAGAGGAGGAAGAAGAGGAGTACTCAGACTCCGAGCTGGCCGACGACATGCTTCGGTTTGAAGATAGAGAGTTTGACGAAGCCGAGGCGATCTATGTCCAGGCTTACAATGATGTGAGAAAGGATCTGAGGACCAGAAAGCGAGAAAGGGGCTTTGTCCGACACCGTGGCAATGGTGGTGGACGTAGAAGCCATACCAACAAGAAGCCCAAAGGCAGAGGGAAAGGTAGAAAGAAAGATGGACATGGCCGGAAAGATGATTCGACCATAAAAGGCACTGAGGCAGAACTGATGGCGAGGACTAGATGCTTTTCTTGCCAAGAGCTAGGGCACATCAGTCGGAATTGCCCGCATAGAGGCAGTTCCAAAGGTACACAAAAGAAGCAGTTTGTAACTGTTGGAGGAACAGGTTCTTCTACCAGTACCTACATGTTTCAACAGTTGCAACCGATGCCATTTCCACCACCACAGACCACACTGATGCGTGCGGTCTATGCCGGAGTTCGAGTACGAGCCTTTGAAGGTGTTGTCGACACGGCTGCTGAAGAAGCCGTGGTGGGAAGCCAAAGCTTCAATGGCATGCGAGAAGAGTTGCGAGCAGCTGGATTGCGACCTGTTCCAATTCGCCGCCCCTCCTCACAATGTGCGGGAATTGGTGGCGCTGCTCGACTTTGTGGAGCTTTTGATGTGCCCACCTCAATAGCTGGAGTTCTCGGCATTTTGAGGTTCACAGTGATCGAAGATGGAGAAGGTCCCAATGGTTTTGTCACACCACCTTTGATTCCCATTTCCTATTTGGAGACGGTGGGTGCCAGCCTTGACCTTCAGTATGACACTTACGTGACTGCCGATGGCCACACAACGCAGATGAGAAGACTTCCATCTGGCCATCGAGCAATTCACATGTTCGACTTCGAGACCACGCCATGGAAGTTGCCTCAGAACCTTCAACAAAATGGCCATGACCCTTTTCTTTTACATCCACGTTCTTCGCACTCAATTTTGGGAGGTGGTGATGCTGCGCGTGATCAACGAGGTGAGGCTTTGGCTATTTTGACTTCTTCGACTTCATCCGGGACTTTGACATCAAGTTTTCCACCCACAATCTGTGCGGACGAGACTTCAGGCCGACCAATGGACGACGTCTTTTTCGAGACCTATGTGGAAGCCCATGTCTTGCCTGGAGAAGTTCCGGTGGAAAACGAAACGAGGAGAAGATCTAGATCAAGGTCAAAAGCCGCACCTGCTTCAGAACGTGCAGATTCAGTGGCACCAACAGTGCCATACACAGATGGTACGAGCACTGCTCCAGATGGAGAATCCACAGAAGTGGAGGTGTTGCAAGAGCTACCTGAAGAGAGACCAGCGTTGCAACAACAGTCTCAACAACCAGAACAAGCACAGAGTTCGGGACAAGTTCAACGACCTGGACAAGCACAACAATCTGGTGGAGATCGTCGTCTTCAAGCTCTTCAACGTCTTCGAGATCAACGAGCACAAGGTGTACCACCAGCACTACCTCTACGTTCTTCGAGTACATGCCCCTCGGACAATGTGTCCGAAAGCACAGACTATGCAGTGGTTCAACGGGTCTTGCACTTTGACCAACAGGAAGAAGATCCACCAGTGGTGATGTTCACCAATGAAGAGGGAGTGCACATTCCCTTGGACCCGACGCAAGGTGTGCTGTTCTACTTGGAGAACCAGCAGGGGCAGCGAACCTTCCTGGAACGGCAAGATGGTTGGAGAGAACGACTTCCAACACCCAACCACCTTCGAACCATACCTCCAGTCCTCTTGACCAAACGAAGGTGGGTGTATGCCACAATGGTCGACAATCACATGGAAGTGATCAATGACGACTGGGTGGAGCGACCGCATCGTTGCCTGAATCAACCATGGTTTGGCACCGTGGTCTTCTTTGAGGGACGACGTGGCGGTCAAGAACCTTCAGACGATGATGATGATCAAGAAGATCAAGATCGCCAATCATCCCCGAGATCGGCATCAAGAGGAAGTGGCCCTTCACCTACATCCAGACCGTCAACTACAACGCGACCTTTGTCTTCATCCAGGCCTTCGTCTTCAAGCAGACCTCCGACATCGAGCAGGCAGAGCTCTACACAGCCGTCAACAGGACGGGACATGCAGCCTCGTCCGAGTGCCAGAAAAAAGGGGAGTGTGAGGGTTTTCAACGTGGTGGAGACGGTCAATCGACCGATGGAGTTTAGTTTGGATGAAACTGATCATGATGGAAATTGGTGCTTGAGCCCAGAGTTGTCAAAGGGTGCGCAAACAGTCACCCTCGGGTCTTTGAGAATGTGTTTGAAGAGAAAATCAGACCGTGCTCTTCGAAGCCCATTCAGCTCTCTGATGAGTTGGACGCTTTCCAAAGCAGCCCAAGCCTTCGCCAATCGTCTCAGTCGACGCCATGGCGCCCAAGAAGAACCAGATGGTGGCAGCGGGATCGCTTCAGTCCTCCATCTACAAGATGTATCAGGGAGAAGAAGAACCAACACCTCCGAAGAAGATGGGAACGGCCAAGTGTCTGGCAGCGTGGATGCGGGTGATGACCGCCCTGTTCATGCTTGTGCAGACAACTCGGCAGCAGATGGTTCTGGACTATCTCCAGCAGAAGGGCAATGTTCTGGACGTCGACGAGGAGACGGACTTCAAAGCCAAGGCGAAGCCGAAGGGCAAGAGCAAGGTCACCAAGACCCAATGGATTCCTCAGGGAATTGGAGCACCACTGTCAAGATCCACAGCCCAAAAGCATTGGAACGAGAGCCCAAGAACTTGCACTCACCCCGGAGAGTACATGCGGTGCCGAGCAAATCCACGACAGAGGTGGTGGACATGCATCCAATGCGGGGCACGTTGGGAAAGGCTGGAAGCCGATCCGTCTCTGTCCTCATCGGCAACGGAAGTTCCCCAGATGCCGGAAGCCAAAAGCTTGCAGACAGTCGTGGGGACCTACCCGGAGTTTCTCCCTGCACCACGATCCAAGCCGGAGCAGGGCAATATCAAGCTGAAGGTGGACGTGATGGGCCGGATCGAGCCAGCTTCTGGGAGCAGTGGATCAAGCCATGCTATGCCCAAACGGGCTTCAAAGACAACGACACAGAGAGAACGCTCAGTGTCAAAAGAGAGAGTGCCAACGGGACTTCGACCAATCCAACCACCCAAGAAGACGGCAGGACCAATGCCGACCTTCAATGTGGAGGACGATGGACCCCAGGAGTTGGTCATCAACGACGAGGAGAAGCCTTGGGAGCAGGTGGAGATGGTGGCACCAGATGCAACCCATCCAGCCGCCTAGTTGGCAAGTCGCAGCTTGGTGGTCGACATGGCAGATCTTTGGGAAAGTTCCTGAGTTCCCGTTTCTCCAAGTTCATGGTCTTCCTTTGCATGAACTGCTGCCTGTCGACGGCCACAATTGCTGCTTTTGGCACGCCAGGCCTTGTTGCATGGCACAATGAATGTACTGATGAATTCAAAACTGAGCCAGTTTCACTATCCACTGCGGACAACATGACCTGCTATGTGTATGGGCAGGCATTGGCTAAGCATTTTGCTTACGCTACATCGGATATCTATGGTGATGACGCGAAGCTGACGAAGGAGGACAAGAAGTTCGTCAAGGAGAACCTCAAGAAGCTCAACAAAACCATTGTCGAGGTGTACTCACCAGAAAGAGTGACTGAAAAGGCAGAGAAGTACGGCTTTCGGGCTGGAGGAGCTTTGGACCTGACTACTGGCTGGGACTTTACCAAGGAGACCCATCGTCAGTCAGCTCTACGGATGATACGGGCACTACAACCAGTTCTTGTTATCCTCAGCCCGCCCTGTACTGTCTTCTCAACATTGAGGTTCTTATCCAACTTCAAACGAGACCAACATCAAGTTCGAGCCGAAGAAGAGGAAGCAGTGCAGCACTTGAAGTTTGCAGTCGCCATAGCGCGGATACAACTTCGAGCTGGCCGAGGCTTTCTATTTGAACATCCGAGAAGCGCCACATCATGGGCACATGAGGAGCTGGACCAACTTCGAAACGAACCTGGAGTTTTCTCAGTGCCGGTGGACCTGTGCCGCTTTGGACTCAAGACTTCCAAAGGAATGCCAGCCTTGAAGCCTACTCTTCTTCTCACGAACGTAGAATCATTGGCAACAGTGCTGAATCGCCGATGTGAAGGCTCACATGCCAAGCATCAACCACTTCTTGCCGGCGAAGCAGGCCTTGCTGCCAAATATACTCCTGCGTTCGTGGAGGCGATTCTCAGAGGTCTTCGTCAACATGTACAAACTTGGGTGAAGAGCAACCAGCAGACAGAAGACTATTGGGAGCAGGACGACGGGCAGCTGGTGCGACATCATCGAGTTCCCCGTCGCGCTCTCTTCTCACCATCAGGTGTTGCTGGATGCTCTTCCCCAAGCAAAAGATTGTCTTCAAAGCGAGTCTCCAACATCAACTTCATCAATGGGAAACACCAGACTTTGGAGGATGATTGGAGGAGTGCTGAAGCTCCACGCTTTGCCTTCAGTCAGCTTTGGACTGGAACTACCACATTTCAACTTCATGATCCTATCGTACTACCTCCTGATTGGAAAGCAGTGGCTACCTACATCACACAGGCTGCTGCACATCCTATCCATGCCTACTTGACGGACGAGACCGCCTTGCAGGTGGATTGGAAAGCATCGTTTCCAACCCACAAAATTTTGGGAGGCGGCGATTTGGCTTCTACAACCTCGTCTTCGTCTTCAGCGGCGGCGCGTGGTGAACGAGCTCTTCAAGCTGATCAACGTGATGAACGAGCTCTTCAAGCTGATCGATCTCGACCTCGAGCCCTTCAAGCAGATCAACCTCGAGACCTTCAAGACGACATGGATGAGGAGGAAACTTCTGAAGACCGAGTTCAACAAGCTCTACGAGAACTTCATCTTCCACAACCACCGACTGACAACATCCTACACCCGGAGTTGAGGAGAGAACTGTTTCGAGTTCACCGCAACCTTGGGCATCCTTCGCTTCAAGTCTTTGTTCGTGCACTTCGACATGCTGGAGTAAAGAAGGAGGCCGTGGAATGGGTGAAGCACCATTTTCGGTGTGACCTGTGCGAGCGAAAGCAACAGCCCTCTGCACATCGCCCTGGCAAGTTGCAGAAGGCCATGGAGTTCAATGAGGTGGTTGGAGTCGACCTGATCCAAGTCAACGTGCCGAACTTGGGCGAGTACCTTTTGCTGAACTGCCTATGTTGGGGCACTGACATGCAGATTGTAGAACCAGTGGAAGACAAACAAGCATCCACTGTGTATGCGGCGTTTGCAAGGGCCTGGCTGGCTCATTATGGTCCCCCTGGTCTTGTGATTGCAGACCAAGGCCGTGAGTTTGTGGGTCGAGAGTTTGCAGACCGGCTGGGACATCTGGGAGTGCCGGTACACTACATATCAGCAAGAGCGCCATGGGAGAATGGGCGCACAGAGCGTGCTGGTGGCATCTACAAGTCCCGCTTGGAGACCGCGATCCATGAGGTTGGGGGCGTGACCAGCGAGGAGGAGTTCAAGACAGCCATCAGCGAGACTTCCATGATGCACAATCGATACTACAACCGATCAGGGTACACGCCATATCAACGGGCATTTGGCACACTTCCAAGACTACCAGCTTCTTTGCTGTCGGACGACAAGATAGACAAGCAGCTTATCCTCGAAAGTGGAGAAGATGCTATGAAGAGAGCTTGGCGTATCCGAGAAGAAGCTGGGAAAGCATGGTTGAAGTGGCAGGATGATACTGCAGTGAGACGAGCTGTGTCAACCCGCACTCGAACCGTGGACATGAAAGCCTTCGAGGACGGGGAGCTGGTCTATGTGTGGCGCGACATACCCGGCCACAAAGGATGGACCGGACCTGGCACCGTCATAGCTCAGAAGGGAGATGCTTGTTGGATATCCATGAGAGGATACTTGATGAAGGCGAACAAAGGACAAGTTCGAAAAGCAACCTCCGAGGAAAGCTTGGGTGCTGAGTTGGTGAAGCACCTTTCAACTACGCTCTTGGAGGACATCGAGAACAACCGCGTGAAGTTCTTCAGAGACGTTGCGGCAGAAGGTCTACCAGATGACGATGCAATGTCTGGGGAAGTGATTGGGCGGTTGGCAGAGGCCGAGGGAGACTCACCCGAAGTGGTAGAGCCCGCAGAGGCATACTCACCAACCACTCCACTCAACACCTTGGACCGCATCGACGAGGGTGACGAGGACTTCGAGATGGACCTGGGAGATCAACATCCACTACGTGATCAAGCTCAAGTTCAACCTGATCAAGGAGTTCAACCTATGTTGGAAGATCCACCTCGTCCTGCACCATCGGAAGCGAGCACTGCAGAACCTTCAACAGCCGAGGTTGCACCTTCAGTACCGCCTTCATTGACTACATCACAACCACAGAGTAGACGGGAAAGCATGAACATCCGAGTGGATGAAGCACGAGACGGAGTTCTGGGTTTTGGTCCAGTTCGACGTGATCAACAACGACCGGTGATGCCTTATCCCTGTCCACCACAAGGAGTTCCAGCCCTACCTCGAAACACCAGATCTCTATACTTTGAAGTTTCCAAGGAGCCCAGTGAGGAGTCACCACACTGGATTCGAGACCGGTGCACTGGTCACTACACCATGAACAACGCCAGCACGGAGAAGTTCAACATCTCACAATCTACAGGCGTGTTCAACTACAATGACAAGTGCATCTACCTGACCAAAGCTAAGACCTCACCTGGACAAGTTGAATTCCGAAAGCTGGAAGAGAAGTACAAGAAGATTTTTCGAGCTTCCCGGGCCAAAGAAGTTCAATCTCTTTTGGATTCTGGAGCCATCAAGATCTTGTCCAAGGAGGAGTCCAAGCGGTTTCTTCGAGAGCATCCTCAACATGTCTTGACGAGTCGGTACGTCGACCGATGGAAACCGACGGACGCCTTTGGTGTGCTTCCTGAAGAATATGGGGAACCAGGTTTCCTACCAGAACAACATCCTGGTCTTGCACCCAAATCCAGATGGTGCGTTGTTGGTTGGCGAGACCCTCATATCCATCAGATCGAGAGGACTGCTCCTACACCTTTGACATCATCCATCTATCTAGCACTTCAGTTGGCCGCATCGAGAAAGTGGAAAGCAAAATCCAAAGATGCGAAGACAGCTGTCTTGCAGAGCCGACCAACAACCAGGTCGCAGAAGTTGGCTTGCAGAATGCCAGCTGACGAAGCTTTTGAAGGGTACGATGTGGAGCAGCTCATCCTTCTCCTCACGGAGGTCTATGGACTCGTATCGGGACCATCTTGGTGGAGAAGATCACTCCTTGAGATCCTCGTCAAAGAGCTTGGCTACAGGGTCAACGTCTATGACCGATGCGTGCTCACCCTGGACCAGGAGGAGAACAAGGACTTCAAAGATCCAAACACCCCGACAAGGGGCATACTAGTTCTTGAAGTGGATGACATGCTCGAAGCAGGAGATTCGGTACATCGACAGAAGATGGAGCTGCTTGAGAAGCGTCTTCGCTTCGGAAAGGTCGTCGACTTGCAGAACACCGAAGGTGGAAGTGGCTACGCAGGTCGCAGACTTCGACAGCTCAAAGACTTCAGCTTCGAGTACAGCATGGACGACTACGTCGCCAACAGGCTTCAGAAGGCCAACATCACTAGAAAGTTTCTGAAGAAAGATGCTGCCAAAATTCAGCTGAATGAAGAAGAAGAATCGCAGCTGCGTGGCACCATAGCAGCCATCAATTGGGCTGCCAGAGAAGGCAGACCTGACGGCTCGGCATCAGCATCTATTCTGTCGGGATGCTTTCCAAATCCGACGCTTCAGAACGTGCTGGACTGCAACGCAACCGTGGAGATTCTGAAGGAAAGAAGCATTACGATCAAGATCCATGCAATTCCTGAAGCTGAACTTCGACACGTGTTAGTGGCGGATTCCTCATTCGATCCAACGGGAAAATCCAAACCTCAACATGGATGGCTGCAGGGAGTGACTACGCCGGCTTTGAACCGCGGCCAGTTTGCCCCTGTGAGTCTGATTTCTTGGAGGAGTAAGAGACTGAGGAGAAAAGCAGCCAGCACTACACTTTGTGAATCCATCTCCCTATCCACTGCCTTGGCGAGCCTGGAAAAGCAAGCTGCAACTATGAAGAGTTTCAGGTTTTCTCGCTACGACCCAAGCCAGGTGGTTGAGGACATGGACGTGCTGATGGGTCTTCGTGGACCTCCTGTGGTGATCTCAACCGAAGATCCTCGACATCAAGATCCTGAAGCAGTGGCCATCATCGATGCAAAGAGCGTCTACGACTCCACAGCTTCATCGGAACGACAGTTTCAAGGAGATGATGATCGAGCGGCATTGGAAGCTGCGATGATTCAAGAATCATTGGCCAAACTTCGTGCTCGACTTCGGTGGCTACCACATAACCTAAACCCTGCAGACAGCCTGACGAAACTACCCAGTGCTGCTCACATGGCCCCACTCTACACTTTGTTGCAGAAGAAGGGCATGGTGATTCAGCAGGAAGAGATCGAGCTGGCGACCGGACGACAAGGTGACCGACGTCAGAAAGTTCATGGTCCAGCTGCGATGTCTTCAGAATATGCGGTAGATGTGCATCAGCCAACCATGAGTGTCAGTCAAAATGACTCAACACTCACAAAATTTTGGGAGGCTGAGAAAGTTACATAGAATCCATGAGACAGATGCGCTGTCCGCAGGCGCCTTGAGTTGTGGCTCAGGAGTAAAACAGAGCTTTTGCGCTCTGGGTTTTGCCCACTTGTTTATGATAATGTATAGTATAAATAAATGTATTTAATATATATATATATATAATATATAATTATTTTAATATTGTAATATAATGTATGTACTGTATGTACGTATTATATTATAGTGAGGCTCAAGATAATAGATCTATATATGGGTATATATATATACACGTTATACATCTCTTTCACAGATACAGATTACAGATTTACAATCAGATACACAGTGTACTTAGTGTACTTCTCTTTCCCTTATTGCTTTTCGAATTGTCTGTCACCCTGCCATGAGGGCTTGCAGACACCAACGAAAAACCAGGTGCGACAGTGGGGGGCCATGTTTCCAACACTTTGGGTTTGCATGTGACTTCCATGAAAAGTTGGTGTGTTTGAATGAACATGGTGTACCTCTAAATGCACTGGTCATGATTATCCCTATATTAAAATAATGATTGAAAGGGCCATTGGGGCATACCCAATTTTCAGACACACCCAAGCGTTTGGTTGCACACTGAGCGGAGTGATAGACGTACAAACAGATAGATATTGCACAGTGGACATACGGAGCAAAGGAATCAAACGACCAACGAAAGATGGAGAGTGCAAACATCGGGAATATGAATGAACCAAAACATGGCAATTCACCATAACCAAGGAGGATAGTTTCAATTGCCACGTTTGACAAGTTCTGATGAAAACATCAATTTGTCAAGTTCTTGGGATTTCAAGTTACCCTCTGGTAATTTAACATAGCTATTGAAAATGACCATTTATAGTGAGTTTTCCCATTAAAAATGGTGATTTTCAATAGCTATGCAAACGTTTACCAGAGGGTAACTCTCCATGGTGAATTTCCCATCTCTTCGGGGCCATCTCGTTCATCCACCAGGACTTGGATCTGGATCTGCCGGATCTGCCGTTGCTTTCCCCACCGCACAAAAGACCCAGTGGGGCCATGGAGGGGCCAGTGACGAGGGGCCATGGTGGGTGTTTCTCGTATGAAAAGGAGATGCTACTCGTATAGTGGTTATTATATGTTATTATTATATGTTATTATACTGTAACCTGCTTGGTGATTTGGAACATGAATTTTATTTTACTGTAACCTGGTGATTTGGAACATGAATGGATTATGACTTTCCATATATTGGGAATAATTAATCATCCCAGTTGACGAAGTCATATTTTTCAGAGGGGCTGAAACCACCAACCAGTAACTATAGTAGGTATATTACCAATTGTATCCAACTATAGTTATAAACGCCACTAAAAATCCAATCCAACTATAGTTTATAGTTATAACATATAACTATATCATAACTGTTTGTTTATAGTAAGTCATACCATGTTACAACTATAGTTGGGTATAAACCAAGTTAGGGCCCGGGTGGGGGAAAACAACCTTGTAGAAATACCTCCGATCCCAGACTTGGACGAAGGTAAAAGGTTGAGCATTTTTCAAGCGATTCAAACGGACACGCTTTGGACGTTTACTTTGGAATTTGAAATCCTGACTTCCTCTGGTAGTGATACTTGTAGCCACATGTTTTGGATTTGCTGAAGATTATATTTTATTATCCCATAGGTTACACAATCCACCGTTGTAGAATCTACACTGCGAGGAATCTGTTATTTTTGTATGGTCTCCTCAAGCATATCGAATGTGTTCTGCGATTTTTCACAGAATCATACTGACTTGTTAAATCTGTTCAGGTTCTATGCCCTTTGAGACACGCCCAAATCCTGTCAAATTACTGATCGGCTTGAAGACCAGCACTGGAGACCCTGCTAAGTCACGGCATGTCATGACCCCTTAAAGGATCCCCCAGATGTCTCAGGTTCCCCAAACTACCGGATCCAACATTTCTATGTAGTTTGGGTATGCTATTCCGAATATCGACCTAAGCCGCAGCAGATGCTACCACCGGAATTTTTCAAAGAAGTACAAGCAGAAGCATTATTCCCAAATTCCACATAGTAACATGTGTTTGTTTGGAATATCAGCTAGCAAGCAACATGTCAATGTCAATCATATGAGTGCGTTTGAAAGTGGGGTGTACACCTACAAAGCCATTTTGAGAGGGAAAAGGAGGATAACTCATCAAATGTAGGGGTGGTAGCAATTTTTCAGACAGACAAAGCCATGTGAACATGGTCCCAAGATGTCCCAAGCCCAGAAGATAAAACCAATGATACAAGGTCCATCTCTCCCTTCGGCATGGACGTGGACTTCGACGCAGAGCCCAACATTAGGTGGGGGTGTATTGGGTGCCGACACGATCCGACACGGAGCTTTCCGAAGTCTTCGACACAGGTGGTACCCCCGAAGCATCCCAATTTATTGAGACCAATTTCATTAGCCTAGTGGCCTAGTGGGCCTAGTGGGCCTAGTATTGAAACCCATGGGAAATGGGGATCTCCCATTTCAAGAAATTCCCTAAATAGCAACGTCACCTAGTGTTTCTTTTGAGATTTGTCGAATACGAGTGGTAAAATGTCAAATGAACATATACAAACGATGGGTAAGCCTTGGCGAAGGATGGGTTGCTGGGGACATGTTTAACTATGAAGACATCATCATTTGACATGATACTACAAGGTGGTGCCCCCTAGTTATAAATTGGTTTATAAACCCTATTAACTATAGATATATCACCTATAAACCATAGTTATTGGAGTTATAAACCAACTTAGCTATCGACTGGGGGCCCCACCTTGTATGAATCATTTTCCGAAAGGTATCTCAGATCTTCTCAGATAAACCAGAAGGAATGCGTCTGTTTTTCAACAGGAAGGAAGCTCTTGGATCATTCCAGGTCAGCAAGTGGTTTATTGGGTCATAACCAGATGTGTTCCAAAGTGCTGCTTTAAAATCTCAAGTGCGCTGGGCTTTCTCAAGGCTTGCTATGGTTACGAAGTTTACTGGATTGTTCACTCACTATGTACCCTCTGGTTATGTCAAAATAGCTATTGAATATGGCCATAGAAATAGTGAGTTTTCCCATTAAAAATGGTGATTTTCCATAGTTTTTTGTAAACGTTTACCAGAGGGTAATTGGGTAATTGGGCATGATGGATCCCGATGGATCCAGAATCAGGATGAATCAGGTCTGAACAATCGTTAAATAACCATGATGAACAATGGTTAGCCATTCTTAAGCATATGACTATATAACCATGTATAACAATGTATAACCATGTACAACCATTATTGCCATACATGATTAGCCATTATATGACCATGTCTATAAATGTATAATATATACATATATATATATATATGTTATATTATGTTATATAACATATATATACTCAAAAGACAGGGCGCCTTTTTCACCCTTCACTTGACACAAAATGCCTTCGGATATGCTAAGATGTCCTCAGCTGTTCAGGCTCCCCCAATTGCCGGTCGGCAATTCCAAGGGAAAAACATGGCATTGAAAAAGAAATCGCACATGTCAGTGCGTCGGCTCAAGGCATTCTATGTTGGATTTCGGCCACTTTGTTCCAACTTCCGTTGATGATACAATTGGGATATGGAAGTGGAATTCAGGCCCTTGCCTTTGTACGCATGCTGAAAATGGTTCCAGGGGTTGGATGATGTGACCCCTTTAGGTCTCCCTTTGAACCCTCACCTACAACACTGCCTACACTACGATTTTCGAGAGCTCCCGTTTCGCTCTCAATCACAGCTGCAGCGCCGCAAAGATCAGCAGCAGGTTCGCCCGCTGCGCATGCTTTGCTTGAGCCCGACCGTCGCCTTATACTCAAAGACAAATCCAGCTCACCATCGCTCAAGCCCGATTGTCCCCTTGAAAACATTGATGAAGTCGGCCCAGCATTTTCAACCTCACTCGCTCCAGATCGTGTCGATCTTTTTGAGACTTCCATCACATCTTTTCTGGTAGCGGAGCCACTTGTCATACTTTGTGATGTAGGGCATCCGCTGCGCGAGCCCGACGGTCGCTTCGAAGTCAGTGATGAAGCGCCCCTCTTTTGACGCCCCTTGGAGCATGCACCTGTATTTTCATCTTCAGACGCATCTTCTGACACCATTCTTGATGATCTCCTTGATGCCGATGCGATCTCTCTCGATCCTTCTTCACATCTGGAGACTGTAGCAATCTCCTCAAACAGCATCGCGAAGCTTGAAAAAGAAGCTGGCCAGCGTAGATCACTCCCAAAGCCACCAGCAGAATGCCAGCTGTCCAAACTCGGTCAAAGACCTCCTCATTCTCCTCACCATGAGCTTCTGCTGTAGACAGCAGTACGCTGCCCACCATCATCGCCCGCATGGCAGCCCCATGGTGTTCACCACCAGCAGCAGGTCTTTCTTCGCGAGCAGGTCGGTGCTCCCTTCTCGTCCTTCTCAAACCAAGGTCATCCACAAACTGCGTAAAGGCTTGACCTTGAAGAGGTTTAGTGCAACCATCCGCAACGAGCTCCGTGCCCTTGAGGTGCAAGAGCTTCCATCCTCCACCACGGTTGCGGTTTGTCTCATCCAAAGCTTCTTTCAGCACACTGGCTCGGATTCTGAGATGCCGCGTGCGCCACGATGCTGTGGTAACACCGTGAGCCAAGTTGATGGCCGCCGCATTGTCACCATAGATGACCTTCTCAAAGTCCCATTGTTGCCAGATCGAAGCTAAAAGTGCTTCAGTCGCTCTTCCCACCACCAAAGACTCGCAGTATGCAATGAGCTCAGCCTCGGCAGTTGAGTGTGCCACAAATGGTTGAACTCCACACTGCCATGCTATGGGAACTCCAGCATAGTACACCACTAAGCCTTGGATGCTCTTGTGGTCCGCGCCCGCGGCATATGAGATGTCAGAAAAAACCTCTAACATCTTTTGATGCCGTCTGGCCTTCAGCTGGTCTCGGCGGCCCCAATCACCTCCAGGAATCGTTTGTGAATAGTGCATTCCA